TGGTGTACTCGGAGGTACGCGGCCTTCCAGAGTTCTGGCCGTGACTGTTCAAGGTCACGTCCCAGGTGTCCGGACTTCAACTCCGTTCCCGAACCACCCGTGGAGGGCGGAGCCTTCCGGGTGGTGATCACCTCCTCGAAACGAGCCAGCATCGGTAAGCAGCCGCAGTTCTTGCTAAGGCAAGGGCTACCTCGTCTTTCACCAAGCGTCGCCGTGCTGGTTAGCGTGTAACTCCAGCTGCTGAGACATCACCAGCGTCCGCCACCTCAACCTACCAAACCATCGCCACCATCAACGCCACCGGTGACTGTTGATTTTCATAAACATTATAGCTGGACAACTTACAGGACATGTTTTAGTTTGTCAGCTTAGACTCAGTGTCTGTACACTGCAACTTCATCTATCTTTTTTCTCTTAATTATGCTTAAAGTTTCTACTTTTATTTTCTTACTTTAAACGGCTTCGTCATTTCTTAGCTGGAGGCTTTCTCTCTGAGCAACAATTTACTCAACCGTAAACCTGCATCACACCATGCACTCATTGAGAATAATTCACACATTGTATTGTAAAATTTAAAACAAGATCTAAGTGTACTACGCGGTAGAAAACACGAACGGGAAAAAGACAAGGACAAGCACAGACTATCAACTAAACTAAAGGTTTATTCATCCCGCATTGCATATATATATATATACGACAACCAGGAAAAAAAAGAGAAGAAAGAAAGGAAGGAAAGTAGCATTGTTCACGAATGCCCTAGACAGATCCTGCTCTCACATAATGAACACAATCTTCAAGAATCAAGTGGATCGTCTAAAAGAAGCTGGCTATCCTGATTCCCTTTTCGTTTCTGTGGCCGAAAGTATGAAAAAAGTCCACAAGTGGAGAGAGTGCTGATTGCAGGGACAAAGGCAAACGCAACAACGTCGCGGTGATCCCTTACATGCACCAGCTATCGCACCAGATAAAAAAAGTCGGCCAACGCCTATGCGTGCAGGTTTTTTTTCAGCCCCGCACAAACTTTCCCAGCTCGCCAAACTGACATGTGCAAACATTAGGCCTAAGCAGTCCTGCAGTGCCAGGCACAAATCTCAGTTTGTCCGATGTGTCACGAATGTAGCATACAGGATTCCGCTGTCATGTGGTGTGTGCTACATTGGGCAGACTGGGAGGTGCCTCAACGAGCGCCTGCTTGAACACACACGCAATGTTCACAATGGCAATGAGGGCTTCTTAGCTCAGCATGTGAGCAGGTTTGGTTGCCATGCACTATTTAGAAATACAGTTGTATTATACAGGCACAAACATGATCACACGCGCATGATTGTTGAAGCAGAGAGAATGGCTCAAGAACCTGACAACTGCGTAAGCTAACCATCGATTGCCCTCCTAGATAAGGAACTTCAATTTCTGGAAAATGGCGCATGTGTGTAATTTATTTGATATTCTGCCTGATGCTTCGCATATATGAAGTCTGATGTGCTAGTTTCCTTCCCTTCTTTCTTCTCTTTTTTTTACTGGTTGTCATATATATATATATATATATATATATATATATATATATATATATATATATGCAATGCCGGATGAATAGACCTTCAGTTGATAGTCTGCGCTTGTCCTTGTCTTTTTCCCGTCCGTGTTTTCTACCCATGTACCCCCTCCCTCTCGTGGCGAAAGATGACCAGGCAAGATTTGTACAAGGAAGGAAGAGGGGGGCTTTGCTCGGTTGTGGACCAATATTCAAGATGGTGGCAGAAGAATAGCCTTTAAAAGAATCCACAACCATGCTTCAAATAATATGCTTTATTGAATCAGCATGCACTTACTCTTTTTACTGAACCCTTTAAAATCCTTGCGTGAAACTGCACGTGTTATGACAAGTGGTGACAGCTTTTTTCAAATGCATGAACAATTTTTGACAACCCAGAGGCACCACAATGTGGAAGCACTAAGAAATCAAGTACATATCAAAAGTCTCTCGGAACTTGGGTTTCTAGGAACGGCTGTTGCAGGACTCTTAGAGAAGAGGTTGAAAAAAAAAAAAATGATGCGAGGGGAGGGGGGATGCCTGCTCGGTCATCGGCACATATTTCCATTCTCCTTAAAATGGCAAGGAGGCATTTGTTTGGGATTTTACCGCACTGCGTTTGATACATAATACAGAGCTAAGGTTGAATCCAATTTGTGCGCCAATTTCAATTTCGCTGCGACTGTGACACCACTAGCGCTGTCGATAAAATTACTGTGCTGAAGTTACTCTATATGTGTAGACTAGAGTCACTTTACAGTAACTCTAGTCTACACAATGCACAGCCTTCATCAATGCACCATACTTTGCATTACTGCATTAGGGCAAAACCATTCATTTCACTACGACAAACACAGAATTTCCCTGTACTGTCAACTGCTTGAGCTCGTTGTCACCTGCAGACATTATTCTTTTCAGTGAACTTGAGCAAGAACATGTTCCTAATGCAATTGTGTTCCGTTCCACATTCCTGCATGGCCCTCATCGTCTTCATGTGACTATGGTGAGGCATTGGTCTCGCTTGCATCAGTGTAACGTTTTACAGCCACATGTTTTTATACTTAATGCATAGCACGTCGCTTCCTCAGGGGGAAATCACATTCAACGTTCGTCCAGTCCAAGCAGCTCATCATTTCAGAGGCATTTTAACTTCTCTTTTGTCAGCATAGAGTCACCTGCTGAATTGTGCGACACCGGACATGTCAAAAAGGCAGCACAGGCGTAAAACAGGAAGGCCACCATGTGTGGCAGCATTCTGATAATAATAATATGTGGCGTTTAACTTCCCAAAACCACCGTATGATTATGAAAGACGTCTGTCGAGAACTCCGGAAATTTTGTCTACATCTTTAACAGGCACCCAAATCTGAACACATGGGCCTACAGCATTTTCACCTCCATCAAAAATGCACAGCAGCCGACATTCGATCCTGTGACCTGCGGGTCAGCAGCCAAGTACTTTAGCCATTAGACCACCACAGGGAGGCAGCCTGGCACAGCAAAATATAAGCAGCATTTCGAGTGGAACCAGATAAAACCAGCCTAACACATTATTCGGTGAGTGACATCTAAAAGAGTGAGATGATTTCTGTTATCTGCTTTTATATTGCAGTTAGAAGCTCAATAACTTCTGTTTTTATGTGTCTATCCTCACTTTTTTTTTGCATTCATCTCGAGATACAAGGAACGTGTTGCAAGGTAAAACTATGTAAGTGACGTTTGGTTACAGGGCCCTTTGAATAGAAGCTGTGCAAAATCCCATTTGTTCAGAAAGTGCAAGCAGCAATGAAGAACGCTTACTGTTAGGTGCAATTCCCATAGTAACTATAAGTCAATAAATATTTTTCTGTCTTATAAATCCCATCAATAGGTTTTATATGGTACCACTTAAAGGTGCCTACAATAAGGTACAGGTCCCATAGTAATCATATATGGTAACTATGGTCTAAAAATATGTTTTCGGTTTTATTAAATCTACATGTTTCGAGGCACTATTTTATATTGCTGATTAGGCTTAACATCTCAAAGCAATATAGGGGTTGCAATGGACATCACAGTGAAGAGCTCTGGGCCAATACAACCTAGGGTTCCTCAATGCACACCCAAAAATAGGTGCAGAAGTACATTAGCATTCCCTACTCTTATCAGAATGCACACAGCCCTTCTGTGATATGATACAACTTTCAGGATGTCATGACATGGTCCCCACCTGTATGTTTGCTTTTTTTTTTTCATGTGCAGCTATGTAACCTAAACATTTCTAGAAATGTTTGTCTCTTACAGCATCCCACATTTTCAGAAACAAACTTCAAACAAACCCATAAGGTGTAGCTTGATGGCAAATCAAGATTAGAGCGAATGCAGCATGTGGTACCAGTATTTCTGTGTACGCAGGAGTCCACAGTTAGAGTGAAAATGCTGATATCCCCCTGTGTGCGTGATTGCCCACTCAACACACTTGGCATTGGGTGGAGGTTACATGCTAACGCATTCTCTCTTGCGTGCAAGTGTGAACACAGCAAACAAAAGATATATCCTTTGTCCCCGTTGTTGACCATAGTTTGTTTTAATGAAATCACCATTCAAAAACAAACCATTGAGGTTTTATGTCATACATAAGTGAAACACATCATAAATAACATTTACCTACAAGCAGAAGCAAAATAGATCAATAGAAAAGCTGACACAACAATGTTTAAGCTGTCATTACTGTCAGTTATTCTACCAGGAGATTATAAGTCTATATAAAATTCTGTTGCACGATGTTACTTTAAGGCAAAAATTATGTTCGTGAAATGAGAACACCACTTCACTAATTATACCTATTGACAGACGTTAAACACCTAGACATGAAGTTATTAATGAAGGTTTTCAAGAAGTCAAAAGTACGCTACGTAACTAATGGGTGGATGGTGTTTGTGCATGCGTTTCTTGTTTGTTTTTTTCGCTAGAATCAGACATCGTTAATGACTTGAGAAACAAGCAATGTCAGCAAAAACAACAATCAGATGTTTCAGAGATTGCTTACAAGTAAGGAAAACTACAAAAAATGAATGCCATGCTATATTTGATGGTTATAAAACGCCGTGACGTCAACCGTAAGGTTACGGCATTAAAAAAAAATGTTACCCTAATTTTAGCGAGCATATAATGTACCACGTTAGCCTGAAAAAAAGATACAGTGACTTCAAAGCGTACTCTACGTGCGGTAATACATGACGAGTGGTACCAAGCAGGTGATTAGCGTCAAGATAGGTAAATGTCACACTGCACCATCAAGATGCGAGACTTTTATGAACCAACTCACAGCATGTAAAAACGGTTACATTGTGGCTCTTTTTAACTATATTTACCGCATATTTCTACCATCGATAAAGGGGGAATACAAGCGCACTTGAGTCCCACTAAATCCCCTTTCTAAACACGTATCGATTCGTGTAGTACGGAACGGAACAGGCTGCACACCTACCTTCCACTTGCTGGCAGAAAGGTTGCACCAGTTCTGCGAATGAGAGATTGTTTCTTCGGCACACATCTTCGGCGTCAGAAGTGCACTGCACCGTTACTGTAGGGGCGAAAACGCCTTGGATGAAATCCTCTGCTGTCCGCTTGTTGGCGTTCATCATTGTAAACCACTGCTGCGAGGATCCACGAGTTCATGTGCTGCGCCGTTTCATTCTGGATTTTATCGGTATGCGGCGTTCGCTTGCATGCTGCTACCAAGTGATGACAACCGCTTGCGCTCAGCCTTTAGTTCAATTATTTTCTTCCGGATTTTAGGCAGCGAAGCGGCAGCCGCCACCACAGGGAAGCATTCTCATCGCCGGAAGTTATCCTGCCCCCCTAGTCGGAAGCACGACCTCCTCTCGTGGTCGGAAGCCAATACTGGGCCAAGCCATCGTAAAGGCCGTTTCACGTGACACAAAAAGTAGCAATTTTCAGGCTGCGAATTTGCTCGCAGCAAAAAAAAAGGCAGTTCGCTTTCACTGCAGCGGTCCACAGCGAGCTTTCAAGATGTAGGAAATTTTCGCTCTGATCGCAGCGGTGGCAGCAATTTTTGGTTGGGACCCGTCGAAATAGGGCTGGTCCGGCCAAGCCGTCGAAATAGAGTCGACGTGTTTGTTTTGGTAGAGTGTGCTAGAATTTAGTTTTGGTAATGGCCGATGCTGTGCATTTTAAAATGAATTCAGACTGGAAAGTGTTCTTAAATGACGAAACAAGCGAGCCCTTTGTTACCGTTCACGGTAGTTTCATAATATCATAATGCACATATTACTGCATTACATTCGTGTCTGTCACAATGAGCGGTGGCAAGAACTCGCCGCTCCAGTCGCAGGGCGAAAATCGCGGACCGTTCGCGGTCCATGTGAAACGAAACCGCCATTAGCGACGGTTGCGAACAGAGCGAACGGAGCGATTTTTTTTCGCGGCATGTGAAACAGCCTTAATGTAGCCAAGCCCGCTGCTAGACGATCGCTAGAACTTCTATAGAGATCCTGCTAGAATCTCTAGATCTATACGAAACTCTAAGTCTAGAAACATCTGCTAAAGCTCTTGTAGCCTACTTGACGAATTCAAGCAAAAGCATGAGCGCGGCACTGCAGTCACCGCAGTCGAGCTGTCTAACGTTCTTATAGTTTGTTCAACACGTGTGAGTGCTAAACAAGGACACATATGCGAGTAGCTTTTCTTATGTTTTTTTTTTTTTTTTGGGGGGGGGGGGAATTAAAGGGTGTACGTGTTTCACTCGCTTGCACGACCCACATTCTACTTATCTCATCAGGTTCACAAATCACCAGAACTCTCTTGGTCCAGTTTCATAGAAGCTAACGAATGTCATACAGGATGAAGAATTGCGCGATTTAGTTTAAGGTTACGTAAATGGTGAAATGAAAAATTACAAATCAAAATGATAGTTTTTTTTTTTTTTTTTGTCGTACCTTGCGTTTACCACCACATTGCTAATGTGCACCTATAGATCTAATCTGGGTAGATGAGCGACTTACCTGCATGCCTCTTGGTCATGTCATGATTGGCACAAAAATTCTCTGGAATTTCAATAACGTCACATAAAATGTATTGGGTATACTATATCGGAATTATTCAAAATTAGGTGCACTTTCAACAGATACATTATCACTGGAAAGGTGAGAGTTTAACAATGTAAGAGCCTATACCTTTGAAGTGTGTGTACGCTTAGATCGATTACAATTTTTAACAGCAAGACCAAGGATACTAACCTGGTTCATCACCTGACTTGCTACTCTGGGCTTTGGGCGATAACTATGGTACAATGATAACATTTATAACTAAATAATACCTAGCCACACATATGTGCAAAAGTCATTCATGTTTCATTCAAGTGCTGGATTTCTTGAAAGCTCGGTATAACGTTTATTTCCTATTGCATGAAAATGGTTTACCAGGAGTATTCACGTGAAAGCGTTGAAGAGCTCAATTCACCAAAATTTTCGTGTCGGTGTCGTTGTTTGTGAGCAAACAATCGTCATCTTGTCCTTGACCAAAAATTTGAGAAAGATGCCAATAAACAATAAAAATATTCAGTTTGAGAATCGAACCCAGGCTGTCTATGTGGCAAAAATTTGTTCTACCACAGAGCCATGCTCTGAAAACTTCACTAAAAAAAAACACTATAAATGATAAGCAGTGGAAGAAGTCACCTTAACACATGCAATATCGTGTGGCAGAAGCGCAGAATCGTGCCATGTGTCACAACATACAAACAGTGCCATGAGTGGGTGTTTCAAGGGCCCATCCATTAGAAAGCACTCGGACATATTTAATCATCGGCTGTAAAAGCATCAACAAAGTAAGCAGCTGCTTAGGTTCACATGTCGCCTTGCGGAGCATAGTGGGCCCTTCACCGATTTGCATTAGCAAGAATTATGGCGTAGTGGGCTCTCAACAACTGCACTTGGAGTAGGCATTCTAGAATAGTTTGAAACTACTAATGTTCGTTTCCTTATGACACGGATGAGGCATGCACGGGAACTGAAATCAGCCTATGTATACAGGGCCCGATTATGCTATTATGTTCTACTCTTGAAGGCAAAACTAAAGTGTCCTCCAAGTTATTTGCTCAGTACATGTATCAACATTCAAGCTCACAATTACAGTCCATAAACTGTGGCTCATGCATACAGATTTATAATAAAGCCAGCCAAGCACATTATGCTCAATTATTTAGGGCAAAGTTGGCATCAAAATTGATCTATCTAAGCCACCCCGTCACAGCTTCCGGTGCAGCTGAAATCTCACTCTGTGGCAGCATAACAACCATTTGGAGCATTTACCAAGCAAACAATTTCAAACACAGTAGTTGTCGTTAAGCTGCACCAGTTGTGCGACATATTTCCTAAAATCGATTTGTACACAGAGATGTACTTTAGTTAGAATACCTTAAAATATTAAATTGCACTACTGCTGTTTTTTTTTTGCCGACAGTTTTAAGTTTCTTTAAAGCCATAACATCATGCCACCTAGCATTTTCCTGGCATGCACTTACCTGTGAATGAACATTACTATCCCTGATGCTTTAGTTACAGTACTGGAAGCAGAAGCCATGTAAATTTTCCATGCATTGTTTACTATCCAGTAGAATTGTTCTGATGACATTCGTGCTGTCAACAACCCAGGGCTTCACTGTATAGTGCACTGCCTGCTGTTCTGCTTCATGGAAAGATTCATTAAGATTGTGGTTCACGGACAGTTAAAAACATATGAAATTTGATAATTGGCCCTTTAAGTTCAAAATTTAATATGTGATCCACGAACTCCAGATAATGCAAGTGCTAAACAAGGTCACATATGCGAGTAGCTTTTGTTATGTTTTTTTTGGGGCAAGAGAGAACGGCTAATGTTCGTTTCCTTACTGTCGTTGTTGTCGAGAAACAGAACTGAGACAACGGGATGCTGGAATGCAAAGCTTTTCCATTTCGGCGAAATCCTACCCGCTGAAGCATGTGATATTGTTGAAGAAGTCTTGTGATTGTACGGGTAGGTTAGAAATTAAGCACCCGGCAGGAAATTTTACATAAGTTTATCACAGAAAGATATTTTTTTGTAAAACAAACTACATTGAAATGGTCTATTAGAAGCTATTCTACTGAACTTAATAATGTAATCTTGCTGTCTAGTGTTGCAGTAATAGCAAATTTTGTGTACATACACAGTATAGGCCAGTCTGGCATCATTGTGTTTGACATCATTGTGCCTATCAACTACTTCAACTACACTGCACAAGCCGGTATGGTTCAATTACCACTCAAAATTACAGTTGTAACATAAAAACAGTTTGCAAGCACATTCATTATTCTTTTTCTCAGAAGACCACAAGAACGGCATCCTGGCACATGTTCTGTGCAAATTACGGGATCATTGCAGAAATGTAGCTGGATATAGCATGTTTTGCCTCTTAGCACTGTTTTGTGCAAATGGCACAGCTATTGCATCACTGCAAAAGAAGCATGGTAATTGAAAAGCAGCTGATTATTTCTGTAGCTTGTTAGTTTACAACATGCACTAGACCATGTGACAAACTGTGCTGTACAGTTTCGCTTGCACCAGTCAAAAACTGCTTGAAATTTAATGCTTTCTTGAATCATGCTGTCTGTAAATGCTGATGCAGACTGAATGTTGTCCAACCTGTGAGCTTTTTCCATTGTATACCTGCATTGCAATAAAAATCTTGAACTACAGCAACATCAGAATTGTGCAATGTGAATCCTCTACCACTGCTTAGCTACTGACATGACATCAACAACTGTGCAGTTATGTTTATTTTTGTTCCTTAAACACATTGGTGCCAAAAGTGGAAACAATACATCAAAATGCCAAAACAATCAAATCAGAAAAAGTGTGCTCATAGTACACAGAACTCTTGCTTGGAATGCATTTCAGCACCAAAATGTATCAATACTGTACGCTCATACGCATACTAAGAACTGTGACCCAGTAAATCAGGAACGCCACGATGACAAATTAGTAGAACACTGTCCCGTATGTTGACTGAAGAGCTCCTCACCAGGTTTGGACATTGTAAAATGAACAAGCACCGAGGGAAAAAACGGGACGGGGAGAGGTAGGGGGTATTTTCTGACAATGACTATCCCTACAGGTGGCGTGGCAACAGAACAATTCACTTTGCTGAAACTTCTCCATTCTTGAAAAGGTTTGAAATGTTCTTTTGGATAAAGTTTGTCCTGTATGGCAACTTGCCGAGTTCAACCAAAATTTGCAACAGGGCCTGGTGAGGGGCCTTTACTCAGCATTATTCACATGAAATGTTGCATATTACAAAAAAACACTGATACATGTCCAGGTCAACAAAATATCTTTTAACTGTATTTGAAAGGCACTAGTTGTACTGAAATTTAAGGCACTCTTATTACTGTACACAATGCATTCAATTCAGTGGAATTCACATAAATGCTGCCACCTTGCAGATAACTCATGTAGCACACTGTTATCGATGAACTATGTGGGGAGCACGCTTGAAAGCACAATAAGGCAAGTGCCACTTAAAGCACTATTATGGTATCAAAAACAAGCAAGTCTACGTGGTTCCAACACATTCGTCTTTAGTTAAAGCACTCTGAGCCCCTATAAAATGTAGCAATTGCTTTTTTAAAGTAACCTTAAAATAAAAAACCTGGTCAAGCTACAGTGGTAGGTTACTCTCTCAGAACAGAAAGCTTTTTAGCAAAACCAGATTCATTTTTCTTTTTCTTTATGTTGCACTAAATGGTCTGCTAGGCAACATGTTGCAGATTTAGCGAGGGGCCTTTACTCAGCATTATTCACATGAAATGTTG